ATATTTTTAAAATATGGCTCTGTTACATTGTAGAGACATATTCTGCGAGCTCAAAACATTTTTCAGAATTAAAAATTTTTGTCTGTATGATGAGTTATAACAGTTTTCATGAAAAGCGATTTTCTTTAATTTAATTTAAATATAAATTAAAATGGATTTTAACAGTCGGGAACTTAAAACGTTTATAACTTTGGAAGCAAAATAGCTACAAAAAAAATTGAAAGTGTTTCTAATCTCTAAGAACCTTATCTACAACGTAACAACGCTATTTTTTTTTTGTTTAAATATAATTATGGTGAGTTAGAACAGTTTATGCAAAGGCGATTTTCTTATTTTAACAATCAAAATCTTAAAACGGTTATAACTTTGGAAGCAAAATAGCTAGAAAAAAAATTTAGTGTTTTTAATTGTTAAGAACCTTATCTATAACGTAACAATGCCCTTTTTTTTTGTTTATTATGATTTTTTAAATTTTGCATTAGTAGACATCTAGAATTTATGACAAAAATTGCTTTTTCAATATGAAAGTACATTAATATTGATAAATATGGCTCTGTTACATTGTAAATGCATACTCTGCAAGCTCAAAACATTTTTCAGAATTAAAAAATCTCATCTGTATGGTGAGTTATAACAGTTTACGTTTCTTTAATTAATTAATAGTAATTTGAGTTTATGAAAATGATCGACAAAAAATCTCTACTATTAGGTTTTATTATTTGGTTTCCCCTATGTTTGCGATTATACTTATATCTAACACCCCAATGAGGGACGGTCATATTCCAAAAATTCTAAAAATTATATTGATTATTATTGCCACAAAATTATACTAATGATCGGCAAAATTTTGCAGTTGTCACACAGAGCATGAATTAATAAAATTAGCCACAAACCTTAATTTTAACCCTTTTTTGCTCACCAGTCTCCACCAAATTCGAGACACAGATTTTTCAAGACTTATTCCTTCTTTTAGAAAAAAATTAGGAGAGGTTATTAATAAAATATATAGAAAAATCTTGGTGTTAAAGTTTATCAACCAAATTACCACATTTGGAAATTAATTATCTATTTTTGGTTATGACTCTTGATAATCTCCTGCCCACAATTTTTTCCTTTTTGTGTATTGATAAATAAATTTATCAAAATTTGCCATTTTCATTAAACTTTAATAAACAACAATCCACATAAAGCTATACCTAAATGAAAACTTACAATATTTTACATCTCTTCAACCACACATCAAGTTTGTAAAGGTAATATTGGTAAAAAATCATAGCTTTGAAGTGAAAAGTAATGCTGTTTTTGAATAAATATAGCTTGACATAGAGAGCCTTATAAATATGAGAGAGGGCTCATTAGAAAGCTATAATGACATAGTTTTATCTTTGATTAATAATGATGTTTGAATTTGTTATAAAAAGAATGAGCTATTTTAAAAAACTAATTTGTTACACAAGTCAGATTTTCTATTTTATATATGTAATTACACCTCCTGTGACATATCATTTGACTGATACAATTCGCATTTATTAATAATTAATGACATTATTGTAATGGCTATGCTGCACATTGCGCAGTGACACATGAAAGATTATTCCTATTCATATTTCTATATTTATATTTATTAACCTACTCAATATTTATTTAGAATTAGTAATTAGTTGATAAGCATATTATTGTAGAGTAGAGTAGCACATATCACATTATTTGTACTGCCCCAAGTGGTATAAATACACTTGGCTTTAGACCAAGTTAATAATCATCATTAATTAATCAATTGTTAATATTGTTGATAACTACTTAATAACAACAACATAATAATAACTCTTAATAAATATATAACCTTACATAAAATAGTCTTTGACTGTAAGTAACTAATAAACCCAGTGTGATTGACCCCCTAGCCCTTCTAATGGTTAATGGTCTGGCCAATCTTTAATTATTAGTTGGGAACCCTTTTAATTATTCAGATACATCTCAAAGGGACACTTTGGGATATAGTTAGTAAAATAGAATCTAGGGACCCTTTTATCCAAGGGGATAAATAAGTTTTGACTGTGAAACAGTAGGCGAAGGACTGTCCTAGCTAGTGGATTCAACTGTAAAACAGTAGGTGAAGAACTGATCTAGCTGTGTGTTGAACATAAATTTAAACTTGGATTGCATGCTTGCAATACTTTAATACAATATGCTTTCACTATTAGTTTTAATTATAAATCAACTTCTTGATTTTTTGACCAAATTAAACTAATTAGAAATGAATCAGGAGTTAAATCCCATTTTTTTATATAATTAATTGTCTCAAACCTTGAAAATTTTGACTTTTATTCCATTATAATTGGTTACTAAATATTTTGAAAAACCAGTAGATAAATTGTAGTAAATCACGTGAACACAACTGTGAACCCATTTCTCCAACAATTAACTCTTCTATGAGCCAAATCACCTATTTCGTTCAACTTATTAAATATTGAAATAGATATTTGAGAATAAAATGCTCGTAATATGTCAGGTAGATGTATTCTAATAATGTAATTGAAAAAAAAAACCAGTAAAATTCAACCCTATTGTGCATTTTAAACTCAAAAAATAAACATCAGATTCGGTTAGAAGATGATTAAAATAACATTAAAAAGCAAATCTCTGTATAAATTTTATTTGAAACAAGTTGGGTTGTTTTTTAGTAAAGTTACAAAGATTTTCCAACAAAAATAATTTTCAGTTTTTTTTTTTTTTTTGAAACACACTGTATGTTGTAAAGATAATGGTTAATAAAAGTAATTGTTTAGCTATCTGCAAAGATAAAAAGGGTGGGAATGGTCTTTGCATAATGCTACACAATTAAAAATTTCTAATACTGTTCCATCTATTGGCAAACACCTAATTAATTGTGAAAACTTTGCAACTATTAAACCAGATAAATTGGAATCAGTAAATTCACATTTAGAAGTGAAACAAAAAAGAGTTGAATCAGGATTAAATAATAGTATAAAAGTTGAAGTTGATGTTGATGTTGATTGTATGTATTTTATATATATATATATACAGTCTCTGGCGAAAGTAATGGCGGTGATAATTTTTTTAAAAACTAAAAATTTTTAATAAGCAACTATCAATAAAATTTTATTTTTAAA